CTAATGAATAGTAAAACTGCCAGTCAAATACCGAGGTGCATATTCATCCTCCAAACCTTGGAAGAACAAGTATAAAATAACTACTTACAAGTTTCTGGTTATTTTTATTTTTTGTATTTGAAACTTCTGATGCCCCCATTATGTGAAGTCTAGCAATGTGATGTTAGAAAAAATGTCCCTATGGTTTTACCTTAATTTTGTGTTTACTAAATTACAATATATTAAGTTCTTGCCCTTCTCATCTCTTTGTTTACGTAAGATACATGGACTATATTGCTCCATGTCCCAGAGCTAGATGAGAAATGTCTTTTAACAGCAATGCTTGCAGGAATCAAGTATTGTGGGACTTTCTTCAAGATCATGGAAAGGTGAGGAGCAGTGCTAGGCTTCTTTGTACCTGATTCATGAAGAGATCATATAAACACCTGCTGACCTTGTGTACAAATCCTCTCAGGACTGATTAAACAGCCTGTGCATACATCAGTATGCATTAACCTTTCCAAAAGATGCTATCAAATCCTGGAGTCAGTGATTCTATTACAGCATCCACATTATTTCAAACTCAATAAACAAATACACTTGTTTTAATATTTTGGATCAAATTCTGACCTTAGTTATACTAAGGTAAATCCAGAATCAGTTCACTAAAGTCAGCAGAATTACTATTGATGAACAGTGATTTGAATGTGTGCAGCATTTGAACATACATTTTTGGAGACAACAGCACTAGTACTGATACATTTGGATGTACCTTCTGTCTGTAGGATACAGTTCCACAGTAATGACATCCAGGGAGTTCCATGCTGAGATGGTGAGACCATTGTAGAGACACAGCATACCTATCATCATAGATTCACTGGTACCAAACCAAAGGAAAAAACAGCTAATTCCAGAGAGAACCATCGATCCACCTGTATGTAGGGCAGACACAAAAAACCAACAAAACAGGTCATTGTTTTTAAAGTGCCACCCTTGTTTGTTTTGCATAGCAATGGCATTTATACACCAAGAAGACTAAATAGCTTAAACTCTAAAATGGAACCAACTTTTTTTGGCAGCACTATGGTCCACTTTGCTAGTCATTACATGACACTAATTTATATGCTTTATTACTGAACAAGGCTGATTAAGCAGGACTAAATATATATATATGACATTACTCATAAAATAGGAACATGATAAAGTATGCAGTTATTTAAGGAAATGAACACAAAATTGGTCATCAGAGATGGTTCATAGGAGATACCCTAATTTCAATCTCCCCTGTAGTTTGCAAAATGGAAATGAGCTTATGGCCTGCTATAAATAGCATTTGCTAATGGCTGCCAGGGATGCTATGCCAGCTGCTTGAGCACAGTTCCATTTCCTCCTAATGGGGGTGGGGAGAGGCCAGTGGCAATCATTTTTGAAAATCCAGTGCAAGTGCTGAATAATTAAATATTTACCTCATTTTCATTCTGACACATTCCAATGTCTGGATTTGTAAAAGGCCCCTTGAAGCATATATTAATGAAATACCCATGTCATGGATTTCTTCTTACCTTTGTAAAGTGCAAAGCCTCAAAGAGAAAACTTTTTTGTCTACATTGCTTTTGGTTTGTTCTATTCCTTTTCCTCCCCATTTTAATGCACATCCCATACCTAGCATTGTTAAACGCCCAATTCTGTCCATGAGAAGAGCAGACACAATATTCCCTGGTAACACTGCCAAAGTTCCCAGGAAATTAACGAAGTAAATCCAATAGGCGCTGTAGTCATCATCAAAGGTAATCTGACATCCCGTATTGGTGTGAAAAAATGAACAGTTCAGAAATTTACTGTCAATAAATTTATATTTCTCAAAATCTGTGGAAACAAGGAGAACAACAGCTAATACAGTCTCAGCTAACTCATAACATGACAAGTATGTGACATAAAACATTACAATCTTAGACAACCTTAATGAAAAATAGGAGCATAGATACTGCTTTGCTTTGTATACAATGGTCAGGGCAAGTTACTGCCAGTTAAGTTTTTCTTTTTCTTACACACACACACACACACACACACACACACAC